GATCAGATGAAGTTTTGTACTTTATATATATTTAATATGGACTTTAGTTTTATTTAATATTTATTATTTATATATGGATTTTCATTATCCTCAATATTAATTTATGTACACATTATTCACATTGATTGACAATTTATACTGATTGATTTGCATATCCTCGAATATTAATGATTCACACATCATTTCACATTGTTCAATATTTTTTGCACCATACATATTGTATTTTAGGTGTACGCTTGATATACAGTGGTATACACACATAGGTGTGTTTTGGGTTGTTTTAGTGTCTATTTGGAGGTTTATGGTGGCTACTTTACAACACACATGGGGACCATGGGGAACAAAAGTAGCCACCCTCCAGAAAGGAGGACAGTGTCAGCACCAATTCAGAGATGATTTGAGGATCTACAGCCGAGTGATACACAATGTGGTACAACCGCATCATACCACGCTGTGAACCTAATGGAATGTTACTTGTGACAAAAATAAAAGGTAAACAGTGCGCCAGGATCAGCATATCAGCACTGTAACAGTTAATACACCCACAATGTTAACATCTTGGAAGATGTGTGCCTTCTGATAAAGGATATCTGTACCCTACTATATTCCTTATATTCTATTTTTTGCAGATGACAAAAAGAAAACAAAAATGTCCAGAGAGTGAGCAATAATAGGCACAAACAATCTGAACCTTACAAACAATAGTGTAGATTGAGTATCATCAAGTCCTCTGGCAAACATAAAGAAACAATTTGTTTAATTAATTCTGCAATTGCTACTTCATGAGGTCAGACAGTCCACAGCCTAAACACTCTTAAATGGTCACTAAATGCTCCATCTTAAAATAACATTTGAATCCAGCATAATGTCCTAGACCACAGATGTTTATTAGGGCATGCAAATGATTTTACATAATGTTTTTTAATCTCATAAATGTATTCTCAGCATGATACCCAGAAATGCTATTTTTCCTTAACCTCTGCTTTTTTGATACAAGCAGTGCATGTATATTGCAGTCATTACACCTGCCAATTCTGATGAACATGTGTCCACATATAATTTTTTTTTCTAGCCTGTTAGTGAACAAAGAACCACCAGCAGATATATTTAGACAGAGGAAGTACCACCATAGAGATCCATAGAGAGTGGGACGGGGCCACAGTTGTGCATTTCCTGATCCCGCTGTCACTCAGGAATTCCAAGGATGGTGTTGCATGGGTGGAGACTTTATCTATGGAAGGTTTTGAGTGCTTTTACATACCGCTGCTTGGTGTATCAGCATGTAATACATATCGGGAATGGATCAAAGAGGGTAACTGCACTCCCACATACAGTGGGACCATGCAGACCAAATGTAGCCACCCTCATAAATTGTATCACAGCAGTTTAAAAATATAATTTATATTGATGTGCTATCCAACACAATATATATA